GTGGGTGGGGGTGGGTGGGGGTGGGTGGGTGGGTGGGTGGCTGTGTGTGTGTCTGTGTGTGTGTGTGTGTTGTTTGTTGTGTGTGTCTGTGTCTGTGTCTGTGTCTGTGTCTGTGTCTGTGTCTGTGTCTGTGTCTGTGTCTGTGTGTGTGTGTGTGTTTGTGTGTGTGTTTGTGTGTGTGTGTGTGTATGTTTTTCATGCCCTCGATGTGCCTTTTGCTTTGGACTTATGGTTGTCGACCTGCCCCGAAGGCTGAAAGGCAAGGATCTTGTGCTTCCCTTGGACGAGAACTGTGGAGCCAGGAGGCCCCTCGTTGCTTGGAAGGACCAGTGCTGGCTCCAAGTAGCTGACAGCCATGCAAGTCGCCAGGGTTACTGAACTACAATCACAAGGTGAGACACGTAGTTTGAGGCCAAAGATATTTTCGAGCTTGTGTTTAGGATGGCTTCAGGGCGGGTTGCAGTTGGGTCACATATGAATCCTGAAAGCCTTCTATATACGGCCTCTATGCGACATTTGAATTGGGAATCTTTTCTTCCGGCACCGGAGAACATGGCTGTTTTAGGAGTTGGGGTAAATGGGGTAATCAGTTTGCAAGAGAACCTGTTTCCCTTCAGCACATATCCTGTCTAGCCCACACGACGTTCCGTGACGAGTTTTGTTCACGCTGTGCCTCAGGTCAAGTCTTGGAAGCTCTGACAATCACTGTTTTTGGTTTTGGGGCTTTGGGCTACAAATGAAAGTTGCAAGACTTGCAGAAAAACTTTCAAGCCAATAGTTTTTTCTTGGCCCCGTGACAGATTTGCACGAGGACTTGTCTGGTCAAGCGTTGGGCCCATGGCTCGCGCACGAGGATAAGGTCACGACGGTTCACTTCGATTCCGTTGCCTGTCACTTGTTGGCCCGCGGACGATGAGGGTTCGTACCAGGTGTGTGGGGGCCGTGTCAAGGCGTGTGAGCTGCAGGCAGACATTTCAGGCCAACAAAGAGGACCCCCAAAACCCGATAATTAGCCGAAATGTCTGAAAGTGTCTTTCGGTTGCGATTGTGGATTAGAAAGTGTATACTGGCAATCGAAGCTCCTTATTGCAGAGCTTCGGAGATGGCCGAGCAGCGGCACACCTCCCTCGAAAGCCTTCAGCAAGCGCAGCCAAACGAAGCAAGGCCTGGACATGTGCATGTGCATGCCGACTGTCGTCCACAGCAAAAGAAAGAGGGATGCCGAGACAATCCCCTTGTGCTCCTGTAGCTGTACCGCTTCGCTTGGCGATCGCAGCTGAAATCTGGAAAGCTTGTGTAGATCTGCTAGGGAACTATGCCAGCCCTAAGTTTGAGATCCGCTTTGCTTTCCAAAGTCATGTTCAAAAACCTTTCCTCGTGCTTCGCTTTTGTTGGCCAGCGTAGCTCAGTTCTCTTCCTAAATAACACGAAAACCTGCGATTAGGTATGGTTAGATAGCTTGTCAGTTAGGTAGGTAGGTAGGTAGGTAGGTAGGTAGATAGATAGTTAGTTAATTAAGTCATTCAGTTTTTGGTTAGTTGAAGAGTAAGCGAATTACTTGGTTACTTAGTTGTTTAGGTAGGTGATTCCGTTAGCTAGCTAGCTAGCTAG